ATGATAAACGCTTAACTAAGTACCCCAAACGTCCTATTGATGATTGAGAGTAGTAATAAATCAAGAACATTAATCATCTTTTTGTATTCAATTAGTCAAATTGTTTCTAATACTTGGGTTATGTAATTAGACAAAAAATAATAAATATTGTTCTTCATACATTTGTCAATTATTACGAAAAACTTATTTAACAATAGTTAGTAAATACATATAATCACACATGATCAGGAGTTGTTGTGTAGAGTGTTATTATAAATTCGTTATTAACAATCACGATCCTGAAATTGTTATAGTATATTGGTAAGTTCACGTGAATCACAACAGTTATATTTATTAACTGTTGTGATAGGTATGGTATTGGGTTCCAAACCTAGCAGTAAATAAATTATATTAGATCACTGTTAATATAAAAAAACTATTGTGGAACATACTCATAGCTTATTAAATACAAATGTATATTTCTTGTTTTACCATACACCTCTTTAAAGAAATACAACCATTAAAATTGATTAAAAAAATTATATAATATGAAAATTAAACTATTCTTGAAAATCAACTTAAACACATCATTGTATTCAAAATTGCATGCATCTCATTCAACACATTTTATGTTCTTTAACACATATATGGTTCAATAGTCAGATTAATTCAATGCATCAATATCTTTTATTATTGTTTACCTCATCATCATTGCTTATCATCGTGATTGTTATGATGACTTATCATCATAACAATCATGATCTTAACAATCACGATGATAAGTGACGACGACAAGGTAAAATAGAATAATAGATATCGATGTATTGTAGAAATTCGACTATTGAATCATATATTATGTGTTAAAGAATATAAAATATGCTGAATGAGACATATGCAATTCGTAATATAGTGATTGATATATGTAAGTTTTCAAATACATCTTAATATTCAGATTATAGTTTCTATGCCTATTTAAATGGTTGCATTTCCATTAAAAGGTTAGTTAAACAAACAATATACATAGTATATAATAAACTATACTTCATCTTGACATGTCCATCTGTATAAGAATTTAAAGAACAAAATATTGTTAAGTCACAAGAAGCCTTTTTCTTATAAGTTAGAAATGTTTTATTCTTGTTTTGAGAATATTTGTCAACAAAAACATCATATAAAAACAAAATAATATCACTAACAGCATACAATACACAAAATATATTAAGTTGTTTATAGATCACACCTTTTAGTTTAAATAATCGTGGACCTATGAAGTTCATCTAGTTTGTGAAGCAATGAAAAAGAAATACAAGGTGAATGAAGTTTTCAAAATGACTTCACACTTCTTGTATTTTTTTCCATTGCTATACAAATCATATGTACCATTATCAACTCATATTCTACGCTTTCTACCACCATTTCGTCACCATATGAGGTTCATCTAGTTTGTGAAGTCATGAAAAAGAAATATAAGGTGGATGAAATTTGGAATAGCATTATAAGAAGAAAATTATAGGAAAACCATGTGAAATATAACAACAACATACACCAAAACGAGAGAATAAGTAAAAAGAATAATACCTTTATGTAAGAACAAGATTGACGACTACAATAATGATGAAGAAGAGAAAAATGGGTTCTAGGATTTTATTGTGAAAGATACGACGCTAATGTCAAAGAGTGAGTGTTAATTCGCTTCTATATAAATATACTCACAACGATTTACAAAACCAACTGTGGTGATATATATAAACGTGTCACAACGGTGAAACACATAAACCATAATCATAATACTTTAAATTTTTTATTTAAAAATAAATGAAAAAAACGCATCTTAACATTAAAGGAATAATATATATGAGGGCGTTGAGGTTCGAATCCATGAAACATGATGGTATCACCACAGTTGGATCCATAACTATTGTTATATACAATTAATTTTTAATTAAAAAACAAAAATAATATGCTAGCGCCTTAGTTTAAAGATGTTACCACGGTGTAAAAAAGAACTATGGTGATCATCGCGTTGTTATTTACGCGTTTTGTAGTAGCGGCCATTGTATATAACTTAAGATATTTATGTTCACAAGGGGGTGATTTCCTATCCTACTTACATTTATCACTTTGAAGGAAGCCTCTTTATAAACCTTTAAACATGAATTCAAATGAATCTTGAAGTTCCTTTCTTTATTATGACGGTAATCCTCTCTGGCGGCACCTGGTGCGCCACGGCCCACCCAACTTTTTTTTAATATCCTTACAAAATATTTGGTTATAAAGCCTAAAACCATAATTAAATCTAAACCCATTTAAATGGTTATCAACGGGTTAATTGATAAATGGTTTTGTTATCCATCAATAAATTCAATTATAATCTGGTTGTTATCCAAAAGCTCCAAATAAAAACTGGTTACTTTTTTGTTCATCCATATTTTTAGGTAAACTGATTTTCTGTAACCACGGCTTAATCTCCATTTTATTCTTTAATCACAATTTTATTTTCTATAATTTTCTTTGATTGTAGCTATTTGAATAAGCTCAAATTTTTCTAATAATTCTGATTAAACATGTTGATATATGAACATGATTTGGTTTGCAATAGAGTATTTATGTGATACCAAAAATATCGTAAGAAACACTATCAAAAGAAAATTATTCTTATCAGTCATTATTACTTATTTGTGTTGTGCTTATATATATATATATATATATATATATATATATATATATATATATATATATATATATATATATATATATATATATATATATATATGATTTATGTAACAATAAGAATAAAAGTATTAGGATTTTAGTAGATCTCTATAACTAATAAATAGAGAAGCTATTTCCATGGCAATGTTAATCGTCAATTTTGTCATTCTCTGAAAACGGCTAGCACCGCCCTCTTATTTTAATTTGATTGACTTGTGACTAATAATTTAATTAAAATTTATTTTTTGAGATTATTATACTAAGAATAATTTTTTTTGAGAAATTCCTCTTAAATTCCACACTACAACATTTGTTGTCTCTGACAACACTTTTTTAGGTAGCATGTAGAAATTGTTGCCTTAAATTCATATAGGCAACGATTTACGATTGTTGTCAAAAATATGTTTGCAACCCTTGATAATCGTCGCCTAAAATAGTTTTGGGGACGTTTATGGAGCGATACTCTTTTATTTTTTTGCCAGCGGTTGTTAATTGTGCCCTTAACTGCTTTTGGGGACGATTTTAGAGCATTAAAATATTATTTCTTTAGCAATGTTTGACAATTGTCCCCTAAAATATTTTTGGGGACATTTTTAGATTGTTACATTAGTTCTAATAAAAGGCTACATTTCTGAAATGTTGTATAAATTTTTTTAGAATTATCAAATTTTTGGTGGTAATCTTCCCTCCAAAACTTATACACTAAAAAACAAATATTTTTCTCTAAACATTATTAATATATATAAAAAAAAATATTTTTCGAACACAGGAATTTAAAAATAAAAAATTTCAATTAAACAGAAAATAAAAAATTATATATATATATATATATATATATATATATATATATATATATATATATATATATATATATATATATATATATATATATATATATATATATATATATATATATATATATATATATATATATATATATATATATATAAAAAATTCATTAAACAGAAAATAAAAAATTTTCTAACACAGGAATTTAAAATATTTTTCATTGTTCCAAACTGGTACCCATTTATTAAATTAAAAAATAACCGGTACCCATTGTTCCAAATTGGACCAAAGTATGGGTCATTGTTACTATACTTCCAAACATACGCAGTAAAACACATCTTCTTCAAAAATCTCAAACATCAGCAAAATTGTTTTTCAAATCCAACAAATTCGTCCTTCAAGAACGCCTCCACGAGCTTTCTTCTCAGAATCAGGTGAAATTCTACTTAGAATTTTTACTTTTCACAAATTAAAAGCTTTTTAATTATGGGTTTATCTAATTAACTGTAAAATCGATGAAATTCAGGTTCAAGAGAAAGATCTACCAACATCTTCCATCTTCCATTGATACTCAGGTAAACATATTATAAACTCCAAATCTGAGTTGTAGGATTCATTGATTATACGGATTTCTTGTATGCATGCATCTTGTTTGATAAAATGTCTATTTGGGTTTGTTTATATTGTCATATTAATATAGATGGAGAATGACATGTATATTTTACAATTGATGATTTTGTGAGGAGGTCGCTGCTATAGACATGTCTGTGTTGGTGTTGTTGTTGTCGTCGTTGATTATACGCGACAAATTAAGAAAAGTATACAATCCCTACAATGTTGGCTATGTTGTTGCCCCAAAAGATGAATTTTCTGGTGAAGTCTCGATAATGTCATCGAAATGCATGACTGAAACTGATTTCAGGTATAATGATAAACAGAAAATGTATGCAGTTTATCTTATGAACATGACAACAAATGTTCGTATTTGGAAAGCCTTGAACTCACAATCAGACGGTGACCACCTTGGCCTTATTAAAAAAGTGTTGCGGCCTTGTCATGATGTAAGAATCATTTTTTCATTTGTTTTCTTTGTTAGTTTCTCAGTTCAAATAAGGAAAACTCAGTCGTGTTCAAATTTGAGTTCATATCTAGTTTAGAACAATGGAGTTTTTTTTATGCAGTTTGATTATATATGAATGTAACATTTTTTTATACTTGCTTTTGTGTTTCAGGGTGGAGAAAACTTCAAATTTTGTAGTTAATATTCTTACACTAAAGAAGACATAATTCGTTCTCAAAATTTGAATGATTCACAGGAAGAAGCTGTTTCAAGCTGTGTTGGTATGTTAAACTATTGTCATGCTAATACCAAACTTATATGGGGTCCACCTGGAACTGGGAAAACAAAGACAGTTGCATGCCTGCTATTTTCTCTTCTCAAGTTGAAAACAAGGACACTAACTTGTGCACCAACAAATACTGCGATTTTGTAAGTCGCAACTCGGTTGCATAGTTTAGTTATGGAATCCCTTGAGTATGATACATATGGTTTAGGTGACATTGTGCTCTTTGGAAATGGTAAAAGAATGAAAGTTGATTGTTATCCAGGTCTTGGTGATATCTTTCTTGATTATCGGGTGAAAAACCTCATGCAGTGCTTTTCTTCATTAACCGGATGGAAGCGTACCTTGGAGTCCATGTCCCAGTTTCTTCAAGATCCCGAAAAGCAATATTTTTCAGAGATTGGCCTTAAGTCCCTTGAGGAATTTGTCAATGAAAAACATAGTCATGTGTTATCCTCTTTCTGCATGTACAGGCGAATTAGTAGGAATGATGATCATATTATCACATTGGAGGAATATGTGCAGAAGTTGTGGATCAATATTGCAGATGAATATTCCGACAAGATGGATAATATTAAAAGTTTCATGACATTGGAGCAGTTTGTGAAGAAGACATTTTGTGAATTAAGTGAGAAGCTCAAGTTTTTGATACAAACTTTATACACTCAACTGCCCAAGTCTTTTATTTCACTTGCAACAGTGAAGAAAATGTTTCGAGCTATTGAACTATTGAGGTCAATTGGAATTTCATTGGGTCCAGCAAAGTTTAAGCAAACTCTTGATGCTAGCGAAAAAGAAAGAATTCCTTCTTGCTTTCTACCATCAAACTCTGAAATTGATGATTTCTTGAAAATACTCAGTTTGCTTTCCAGTTCTATTTTGCTTCCTGAACTCAATGGGAGAAATCAAATAGAAAAGTTTTGCTTGTCCAATGCATGTCTGGTTTTGTGCACTGTTTCTAGTTCTATTAAACTCTACACTGAAGGAATGACTCAGGTAAAGTTTCTAGTAATTGACGAAGCGGCCTAGTTGAAAGAGTGTGAATCCACAATCCCCTTACAGCTACCTGGTCTTCAGCATTGCATTCTTATAGGTGATGAGAAGCAACTGCCAGCACTGGTGAAAAGCAAGGTACCTGATTATTGAATTTAGTTTTATTGTATCTTGATTTTTTTTTCCTTTAATTAAGTATGTTTATGATGTTTGAATTTTTTTTAGATTGCTGATAGTTGTGGATTTGGAAGAAGTATGTTTGAGAGACTGGTAATATTAGGGTACAAGAAACATATGCTTAATGTTCAGTATCGAATGCATCCAAACATAAGCTTATTTCCAAGCAAAGAGTTCTATGATCAAAAGATCTCAGATGCCCCTTTTGTTATGGAAGAAAGCTACAATAAGAGTTTCCTTGAAGGAGAATTATATTCGTCTTATTCTTTTATTAACATTGCTAAGCGTAAGGAGAAATCTGGCCGCGGACACAGCTTGATGAACATGGTTGAGGTTGCTGTCATTTCTGAGATGATTAAAAACCTCAAAAAAGGTTATTATTCTCTTTAACATTTGTGGTTATGTTTTCTATTAATATGTGTATAATTAATATGTGTATGTTCTTAATTTTAGAGTTTAAGAGGACACAAGAGAAAGTTATCATTGGAGTTATCTCTCCATATAATGCTCAAGTCTATGCAATCCAGGACAAAATTAAGGAGTACACTTCTGTTTCTGATACTGATTTCTCTGTGAGTGTTCGTTCTATTGACGGTTTTCAAGGTGGAGAGGAAGATATTATAATAATGTCTACTGTTAGATCAAATGGGAGTGGAAAAGTCGGTTTTCTTTCAAATCGGCAAAGAACCAATGTGGCCATGACTAGAGAAAGGTATGTAACTTATTTGCTAAGTTTTCATGTTGTTGTGCCGAAAACTCTATCTTTGGACACAATGATGTCAAAAGCTGAATGCTCTCAAAAGCTAAACAGGGTGCCAAAATGCCCATCAATGTTGATTGATGATTATGTAAATCTTCACAAGTCAAAGGAAATGGATGCAACCAAGTCAATCAATGGTGAAAAACCGGGCAGCAGCGTTAACCGTAGCTCTAATCAAAATCAATCAAAAAAAGGAACTCGACAAGAAAGTGTTCAAAATCGGGCAAAAGTCAACGAAGAAGATGCAATCACAAATAGAGAAGAAGAAAAAGGTAATTAGTTTCATATTTCATAATAATGATTTCATGTATTATTTACATAAGATTATGAGACCCCCTTGTTTGATAACACTCACTATGTATGCTGTAAATTTATCCATATGATACTGAACACCAAAGAAGATACAACAAGTAAGAGTGTTCATCAGAGTTCATTTACTCCAAAAAATAAACATAAAAGGATAGCACAAGTTATTCATACATACATACAGTTAAAGACTATTGTAAGTCCTGAATAGTGAGCCAAAAACAGAATGGTTTTCATAATTGATTTATTTGCTAGTAAGCTCATGTCACCTATTACAGTTTAGAACGAAAATTCACATCCATTAAAAACCTTCATAATTAATTCACATCCATGAGATGTGAAGAATATAAACAATGTGTTTTGCTCATTGGTTTAGTTTTTATTTGTGCGAGGTTTAATTCTTGTTGATGTCTTAATTGTCCATTGGACCAAAAATACTTATGGTTAATGTGTTTTATTTTATTTTCTTATGCAGCAATGTATCAATGAAGATGTTGAAAAGGACGATATAAATGATGAAATTCAAGAGGACGACATAAATGATAAAATTCAAGAGGACGACCTAAATGATAAAATTCAAGAGGACGACATAGATGACGAATTTCAAGAGGACGACATAGATCTAGATGATGAATTTCAAGAGGAGGATATAGATGGTGAATTTCAAGAGGACGACGTAGATGAAGAGTTTATGGAGGATGACATATCTAACGAATTTCAAGAGGACGATCTGGATGCTTTACTCCTAGAAGACAAACTTGAATGAGTTGGATGATGTCTTTTTTTTGGCTTGTAGTTGAAAGCTTTAAACTTGAAATATGATTTTTGTTCTTTTGTTGAACTATGTTTTTAGTTATTTTACTAGGGTCATACTTCAAAGTATTAAAAGTAATATTGTTACGTTAGGCATTTTGTGTACTCTATATACTATATCTTGAATTAAAGTTTGAACTCGATTTTATTATATTACAACTTTTATGGATGTATGGTTTAAGTTATATAATCAATATTATTTTTGAAGCCAATTATTATTGACTATATTATTTTGATAATAATTGCAAAATTGTATATTTTATGTGGACACTACAAAACAACAACCTATAAGCTATGGCTACACTTCAAAAACGATCTTCTTGATTCAGGTTTAAGGCAACGATTGTTAATTGTAGCCGAATTTGGCAACGCAACGCTTAAAAAACGTTGTCTCAGAGGCCGTAAATAATCGTCCCCTATTCCTTTACTATAGGCGACGTTTTTCAAAAGCGTTCCCAAAAAACATAAAAAAACGTCGCCTCAAACAATAGGCAACGCTCGCACGGGAGACGCCTAGAAAAAGTCCCATATTGTTTTAGGCAACGATTTTCAGAGTTCTGGCAACGTTTTTCAATTGTTGCTGGAGAGCCTAAATATTGTAGTGCCAACAGTGGTAATGAAAGCTATAATTCTGATTAAATCATTAATTCAAATATGATTTATTATAATTTTGATTATAAGATGTGTAATCATATATGCAAAGAGAATAAGAACGATTATGTTAGGGGTGTTCGTGGTTCGGTTTGGATCGGTTTTGAGACAAAATATCATCCGATCCAAAAATATATAAAGCATACGGTTTGGTTCGGTTTTTGGATGACAACAAGAAAAATCCAATCCAATCCAATTTATACGGTTTACTTCGGTTCGGTTGAATCGGTTTTATTAGGTTTTTAAACCAACACTATTTAGAAATTTAAAAGAATATATTTCAATACCAATTACAATTATGCCACCAACGTCTACTGAGACAATAGCTAATTGCTATGTTCATATGGCTATTTGATGTCATTATTGCAAAGTTTCATTATAATATATGTATAATATCTATCCCAACGAAATAGACATGACTATAATATATAATATATATGGAGATATGCTTAGTTCTTATATGGAGATTTGTATTATAAATTAAATATATGACAAATATATAAAATAGTGAAAAAATGAAGATTCCAAAGCTATATTAAAGCGAATATAATAATAAAACTTCAAGAAAAATATCAATAACAGTTTCAATAATAATATAGAGAGAAGATGGCTATAAATGATTCGATATTAATTTATTTTAAATAATAAATGGCAAGTAAATGGAAGTAATACCGGTTTGGTTTGGACCAGTTCGGTTCTCATGAAGCCAACCGTAAACCGAACCGAACCGGTCGGTTATGCTATATGGTGATCCAAATACATCCAAAAAAATTCGGTTTTTTTTGGATTTTGGTTTTTTCGGTTCGGTTTTTGGATTTTTTTGAATCGGATTGGATCTGAACACCCCTAAATTATGTTAATTGTTACGGTATGCGTTTTTACTAAACCGATAATTGATGCGATAGCTGAATGTTGTTTGGAATAGCATTATAAGTTCATATTATTGTCAACAAATTGGTTGCTTGTCAATTTTAAAAGAGACTGAGTGTCAGTGGCAGCCAAGCAATATGATGTTATCGCCGTGACTGTGGTGAATGATTTTATTTAATTATTATTAGAGAAATTCTTATTCCATCTCACGGTTAAAACAAATATTTTATATAATTTAAAAAATGTTTTTCAAAAATTAAAAATATATTTTTGATATATACCATATTTTTTTAAAAAACAGACTAAATATAATTTTATCCTTCAAAAGACAAAAAAAAAAATAGAATCGAAAATATACTTTCAAATACAAATTTGTATTGTGTGGCTTTGACATAATTTGGTTCACCATCTTAAAAGTTAAGTAATAATAATAATTAATAAATGATATTAATAACGGTTTATTATTTTAAATGATAATAAAATAATAAAGTGTTTCTTATTTAAAATTAAATATTGATAATATGTTTTGTAAAATTTGGATATCGATATTGATTATGTTTTAGAATTCGATATTTTGTATGATGAAACAACGATACTTTGATTATCCATAAGTGATATAAAATTATTGTTCGAATTTATATATGATATAAATATTTCTAATACAGAGTTTATTTATTTGATACACTATTTTGTTTCGTACATTCAAATAGTGTAATAATTGTTATAAATTTGAATGATCAATGTTCGTTCAGCTTCGGAATTCGACATTTATATGGTGAAACAATGACATTCGATCATACATATTGGATAATTAATTATTGTGTTTTGATAGTATGAACGCATTTGCATTACAGTTTGTGACGGCGCAAGAGTTGTACCTTTAGAGTTCACAAAAAGCATCAAGTGTTGATGCGTCAATATTTATAAATAAATATATTATTATTATTTATTATTTAATTATTTATTATTAAATAAATTAGTATACGGTTATGACCTTAAATTTTGACGTTTGTTTATTTTAAATATGACTTGTGTGTCGTGATTTATTTTATTTAAATACGGCCTGCATGTCTTGGTTTATTGTAATTAAATATGACCTATGTGTTGTCCCATTTAATTATTATTTTATTTATTTAAATATTATAAATGTTCAAATTCAAGAGTTGAAGAGAAGACAATACCAAACGATGACGTCGGTGGAGAGGCATGAGATGTTTGCTCGTGGGACAAAGAATTGTAATAATATTTAATTCGTGTGTTTTAGGTAGGGGTGGCAAAACGGACCTCGCCCGTTAGGCATGCCCGTTTTACCTGCACTTTAGTGCGGGGCGGGCCAAGAATTTAGATCCTCACCCTCTAATGTGACTGTCCCGCCCTCCCGTTTTCTTCACGGGCTTTTACGGGCATGAGCATTAGCATAACATTTTACATTCTTAGACTTAAAAGGTGCAGTTCCCGCGGGCTTTTCCCACCCACACACACTTTTTTGCGGGGTGGGCTTAGGTTTTAGGCCCTCATCCTCAACTATGCCCATCCCACCCCGCCCCGTTTTTTTTGCAGGCTTTTGCAGGGAGGACATACCCGTTTTCCACCCCTAGTTTTAGGTGGTCATAATCATATTACCAAGTTTCGTTTTATGTATGTGATGCGTGAAATATATGATTATATGCATGTATATAAGATACACAAATATGTAAGTGTATGAGATACACAAATCAGTGAGATCCAACTTAAGACAAATTCCTCAATTAAATATTAAGTTAATTGCTTTCCAAAATTTAGCACTCATCAAGACTAGTATCGAATAATGTAGGTTTCGCCTAATGCGAGGTACATGTTTTATATTAGTAAGGTGCGATGGAATAAATGTAATATCCAGCTGCTAAATTTTTGGGTTTAACTTAAATAAACTAATTATAATAGGGTTATATATGTTTAGAAGCAAGAGTTGAGAATAATCCATATGATGAATTAAAATAAGGAGTTATTCACTCAACTGATAACATTCGAGAATGATATTAGATACAATTGGAAAGAGTCCATACCTAAATAACAGTGTTTTGTGTAATCCGCATATGCGGACTTAAAACAAAGTGAAATATGGATTTCGACCCACTAGAAAATCTTTCAACGGTATATTCCGAATCAAGTATTGAGGCTCATTTGGTTTGACTAAAAATAGTGGAATCATTTTAATAAAATTCCTTATTAAAATGATTTAATTTGATACAATCCTTTTACACATTTTATATTTAGAATTTACTTTGCATTTTATTTATATTTTAATGTGAAATATCCTTATGAAGGATGTAAGGATCAAAAAAGAGTTTATGAATTGGTACACAAATTGAGAATTATTCTCAAGCACGAGAAAAATTGTATGTTCTCAAGCAACCAATTCCTGACAACCTAATATAACTAGATTCGAAGAACAATACTTATGAGAAGGGTTTAAATCGAATGTCTAATTATAACATATATCATAATTGTAGTCGTCACAG